ATATCAAATTTTGGGGTAAAAAAGTGTGTCTTATACACCAAAAAATACGGTAGTTAGAAGAATTTCATAAAATTTAGCAAATTTGTGCTTAAAAGCTGGCAATGAATAATAACCATCCACCCATATGATTCTTTTGAAAATTTGAGCTAGAAACTGCTAATCTAGTTTGCTTGGCCTAACCAGTACTTATGAATCTGCACATCCTTTCATCCTGTAATTTTGCTGTTCTAAATTAGCCGTATTTAATCCAAATGACAAAAACATCTTCCACTTTTACTCTTAGTTGAAGCTGTAGTAAAAATTTTAGACTGATAGCTCGTGACTTTTTATGTAGGCATGTGCAAAAATTTGGTTAAATTTGAGCTGTCTTTGTTGAATAACTTTGCACATGTGGCTTATATTCACACCACATGAGACTCCTAAATGTAGGTTGTTAAGATCTATTAGTGTACCAAATTTGAAAAAATCAATAAAAGTGAAGTATATTTTAATATCAAATATATTTTCTATACTTTCAGTGCAAAGAAAAAAAAAGGAAATTATCAATCGAAATTGGAGATTTTACATTTTATGTATTTGTTAATGGATTGCCTTGAAATTTGGTATGTGAAGTAAGGGTCCAGTAGAGCACATTCACTAAAAATATGTGATAGTTTGGATTAGCACAGTCTGAGCTACAGAAAGTGGAAAATCACTAAACTATCACTCATGTTAATAATACACAGTGTGTCCTGCAGGTGTGTCTTGATATCTTGAATCGTTGTTGTATTTAGATAAGTTCATATCATGCACCACTGTCTTCTTGGATATTGTTCATATCATGCACTACTGTCTGTTTAGATACAGTTCGTATCATGCACTACTGTCTGTTTAGATACAGTTCGTATCATGCACTACTGTCTGTTTAGATACAGTTCGTATTATGCACCACTGTCTGTTTAGATACAGTTCGTATCATGCACTACTGTCTGTTTAGATACAGTTCGTATCATGCATCACTGTCTTCTTGTTTATTCTACTTGAAGATGTTTAGATCGGCCTATTAGGATAGTGGCCTGTGTTCTTATATCTGTTTATTGTGGTAATTTAACCAAATGATGGTTATTAGGACCTTGACCTGTGTTCTTGACTAATAAACATCTCACTACCCATGCACCCAGTGATCAACTCAAACCATTTACACGTACATGCACATATATTAACAAGTGTAGGTGAAACTAAGTGCTTGTTTAAAATAACAATTCATGTTAACAACAAAACCAATGGACTAACTATATCATGCTGCCTATGTAACCAATCATCAACTGAAACCATTCACAGACACACATTAATAAATGAAGGAATGCTGTCAGAGGTAGGAAGTTGGTTGAAATAAAAATTCAGTACTGAATTGCAATTTCACGTTGAATTCCCATAACAACTAGGAACATCATTCAACAAGAACACAGACCAAGACCCTAATAACCATCACTTGGCTGAATTACCACAATAAATAGATACAAGAGACAACAGTTGGTTTTGTTGTTGGCTAACCCAAACACTGTTTTGTTTTAGAATGGAACACATTATAAAATCTGATTTGGAAAATTAATATGTGTTTGAAATGAATTTCACATTTTTTTTTTTTTATATCAGGCTGATTAAGTTGATCCATTATAGTCTGGAGATGCTGTGGGAAACAGAAAACTTCAAATCTTTGTGCCACATTGTTCAAACCCAATCTGTAACTTGTCTACTAGAAAACAAGGAGCTCTCTGTTCTTGTTGCATTTACTGAGCTGTTTAGATACATCCCTCAGTGTGTACCCATGGGAGATTTGACTTCTAAGCTGTGTATTGCTATAATTCACTGTTTAGCAAATATTCGTGTACCAGACCAGTCAAATGAAATGGGAGGATTCATTTTTGATATTTCAAAAGTTTGTAACTTTTTACAGGTGGGTAGAATGTAAAGTTTTTGAAATCATGTTAAGTTTAAAACAATGCAATAGACGTAAAAAGAACAATAAAGCATTGTTATATATAATATAAAAGTTAAAAAGTATAAATTAGACATAAGAAAAAAGATGGTGATATGTGTATTTAAAAGTATTTACTTTAAATATTGCTGTCTTTAGTCTTGTGATATTTTACTAGATCCAGCTTATTTGAATATTACCAGCAGCATGATGTATGGCTATGTCCAATTTCACTAGGATCTTTATTCATTCATAGTTATACATAGAAATATTACAAATGAAATTTGGTATTAACTTTTTATTGAGTACTGGTCACTGTTCAAAGTATGATTTAACATTTTTATTCGTAATCTCCCTGACACATATCATGAAGTATGATTCCTCATTAACTTTATATCAGTCTCCCTTATTTTATAACTGTCCATGCAAGTTTGATTTTACATATAAATTTCTTTTTATCTCTCCATGACAGTAATTGTATACTAAACATAAAAATTAAGTTTATGATGTTTATTTGTGTTTAACCATCCTAGTTTCACTAAGAATAGCACAAGGTAATAGTAACATATGTGTACATGACACTTAGTATGAAGTGGAACTCTCATGAACTAATTAGCCTACTGGTTACTAAACACTGAAAGCATAAAGAAAAGTTAAGCCAGTTTATAAATTCAAGTTATTAAATCTTGTATTTGTTTAATACATACACTTTTTTAAGTTCAAGTTATAAAAGCACTTAAGTTCTATTGGTTTAAATCTCTAGACAATTTGGAATTCGTCGGAATCTTCTGTCCAGAAAACTTTAGAAACTATGTACTTTTTGTTACAACAAGACACCAAAGATTGCTCTCCTGTCCTAGCTGCAGTAGTTGAAGTGAGTTACTGTTTCATTGTTTTAACACACAATAGGAAAAGTGAGTTATGTTTTTGTCTTAACTTTACAGCTTCCTAGTTCTCTTTTAATAACACAACAATGTGAGTAATTTAATATATTTACAGCTTCCTAGTTATCTTCTAATAACACAATAATGGAAGTGGGTTACTATGTTTACAGCTTCCTAATTCTCTTCTGATAAAACAATAATGGAAGTGGGTTACTATGTTTACAGCTTCCTAGTTGTCTTCTAATAACACAATAATGTGAGTAATTTAATATATTTACAGCTTCCTAGTTCTCTTCTAATAACACAATAATGTGAGTAATTTCATATATTTACAGCTTCCTTGTTCTCTTCTAATAACACAATAATGGAAGTGGGTTACTATGTTTACAGC